ACCACTGTGCTCCTGTGGTTAAACTCAGGTAGTAAGAACCCACGTTCGTGGCAAACCAGATTGGAGAGATTCTGGAAAGTACGACCGTAGACCAGTGGTTTCACCTCTTAAGTGGAGACAACCCTGCTGATACGGAAACCAGATGAATCTCAGCGGTGTACTTAAAGACAACCAGTTAGGTGAACGGGCCAAGTCTGCTGAAAAGTGGCGAGTGGCCTTTCAAGCCGAGCGTAGAAGTACTTTAAAAAATCCGCCTAACTGGTCCTGCTCGTGACCTTAATGAAGGTTTAGAGCAGGCCTCTAATTTTTCAAACGTTGCACAAAATCAAAAACAACCCATTTTATTTGCATGGGAAGAATTCAGCTCGTTTCGTAAACTCCAGCGAGTGGTTGTCTTCATGCTCAGACTGAGTCGAAACACCGGCACTACCGCACTAAAGTCAAGGAAATAACCAATAAGGTTGAATTAGAAACCGCCAAACAACGACTTTTGTTGATGTCCCAAAAGGAATCTTTTGTAGCGGATTATTTACTCCTGTCCTGCGACAAAACCGTCAAAAAGTCTGGTCGTATCGCACAATATGCACCGTTTATGGGTCCTGCATTCCTCATTTGTTCAACAGGGCGAATTCGCCACCTAGTTGAAACTGAATATGACACAAAACACCCAATAATCCTTAATGGAAGGCATACTCTGGTGAAGTTGTTTGTAAGTGATATTCACTATCGCTATCAGCACCAGTTCTTAGACTATATGCGAGCTGTAATTCACTTAGAGTTTGCAATCTTGAACCTTCGCTCTTTAATAAAGTCCATTGAAGTCCACTGCCTTATATGTAGGAAGCGCAAAGCCAAAACTGTCCTACCTATGATGGCAGAGCTTTCAGTTGAAAGGCTTGGTCACCGCATGCTCCCTTCACAAACTGTGGTGTTGATTATTTTGGACCTATTTACGCGTCAATCAGGAGGATTTCTGAAAAACGATGGTGCTTCCTTTTTACATGTATGACCACAAGAGCTGTTCAGATTGAGATTGTCTCATCCATGGACACGAGTTCGTATGTAATGGGAATCGAAAGATTCATTGCCCGTCGCGGAACTCCATCAGTCATTTGGTCTGATAACGGCACCAATCTTGTGGGAGCCGAGAAAGAACTCTTGAATTGTATTCAGTCGTGGAACGGACAAGAACCCCCAGAGCTGGCCAAAAAGGGTATTAAGTGGAAGTTTAACCCCCCGGCAGCCCCGCATCACTGTGGTTCTTGGCAACGTCTCGTTCGGTGTTGTAAAAGGGTATTCTACGCAATAATAGGAAGTAGAAAGCTCGCTCCCGAAGTCCTTGAAAGAACTTTCTGTCTCGTAGAACAATCACTGAACGCTCGACCTATAACATCAGTAAGTGCAAGTCTGGATGGTTTTGATGTGTTAATCACTTTTTTAATGCCGAAATAGTACTAGTTTACCTTCTCTCTCTTTCCAGGAGCACTTCGACCATCGAAAGCAATATATCCGAGCGCAAAGCTACGCCAACGCAATTTGGAGTCGTTGGCTGCGAGATTATGTGCCAGCTCTGAAAAAAAAGCAGTAAGTGGCACTCCGATAGTGACGTTAGTTTAAAAACAGGGGATTTAATGTGAATTGTTGATGAACGCGAGCCAAACGGACACTACCCTTTGGCTCGTATAAAAACCCTTAATTACGGAAAAGACAATATAGCCCGATCCGCCGTAGTCACCACCCGCTCTGGGGAGCTAACTCGACCGGCCGTAAATCTCGCACCCGTTTTTGCTCCTTTGGGCGGGGAAGATGTTCGCGCTTAAATTAATGACGTCATTATAGCGCGAAAGTGAAAAGGCTAAAATTAGATTTAGACAAAAGGCCTTGAAACTTAGACAAAAGGCGCCACAGATTTTGTTACTAACTGCCTTCACCTCGTTGGTGCTATTTCGTTACAAGGAACCGATTTGTATTTCGCTTTTTCATATTTCGTAGAACCGTTGATTGCTCTCTTAATGGTTTCTATTTTCTTATAAAATACCATGGGGGTTACCTGGCTATGAATTAACATCCTTAAACTCTTAGTAGTTTTTGACAAAATCTCATTTTTTGGTTAAAAAGGTCAAAAGTATATAATAATTAATCCTTTTCTGGCTTTCATCGGAATCATTTTTTGTCTCAGTTTCACGGAAATACTTTTACCCTCGACTATTTCACCTTCGCCGCGACAGTTTCACTTTCAAACAAGCCCAATACAAAAATTGAGCTAAAAAGTTCTCCAGACATTTTTTTTAAATTCATGCTCTGAGTGACTCATAGTTTTAACTGGTTTTCCTGGGATTCTTAGAAAAAAAACTTTCTGAAATTATTTTTAAAAAATAGATTTTTCTGTGATTAAATGGATATAGAATTAGATTTTGGAGGAAAAATAATTCCATATAATCAGTATTAAAACACTGGTTTTTTCGCAATTTTAATTTAGAAAATTGCCTATATCGCTTACAAATTATCGATTACGATATGTTCGAGAAGATATTCTCAGTGTAATAGACTTTAATCCAACGAACTTCGTTGAAGGCTAACATGCGTGTTAAAGATTGTTCTGATGGTTGAATTTTTTTCTGCATTTTTGCTAAAGTTAAAAAAAAACAATTATGCCTGAAAACAAAATTAGCTCTCAATTTAAACCTCTATTTTAAGGTCGTTTCGAATTAAATGCTTTTATCCGAGACGGATGAACTTTTCTATTTTGCTTCTTCTAAAGTTTGTTGAATTTTTTTTTCAAAACCGCTCTCCATTCATCATTTTCCCACTCTCAGTAGCAAGAGAACGTAATCGATTAAACTAAAATTTGACTGGTACTTTTAAAAAATTTTCAAATTACTTCTTAGAGCCAAGTTTAGAGGTTTAAATGGTTTATGATCCAGTATAATAACAAATTTTTCAGAAAAAAAAAAGAGTTTTATGAATTATAATAGACTATAAAATTTGAAAAAAGTCTTTTAAAAACGATTTTATAAGATATTGATCTCTTATCACAAAACAAGTATGTTGTAAAAAGGATAAAAAGTTTTTGTCAATAAAGAAATCTCAAAATGTGATATCTGGGAATATTTAGAATAGTATAATTCATCTGAACACAAAAAATCCCACGAACAAAAATGAAAACGTATTTGCTGAAAGGTACCTGCGAAAAGTTTTCAGCTAAGTTAATCATCGAACTAAAACTATGTGCATGTGTGCAGATATTTTAATGGTAGAAAACCATAAAATTTATTGAACGCCAAAAAATCATGTGCATCATAAACAAAATCTAATTGAGAAAAAACTGCGAATTTATTTGAAAATTGCTGAAACGGTTTTTCAAGTTTTAATAATTCTCAAAAACTTTGAAAAGCATAAATATAAGCAATTTAGAAGCAAATAAGGTAATGGAATAAAAAAATAATCGATCACGATTGAATAAAAATGTAAATTCAGACATATGGTTTTCGTTATGTAAGTGATATGTCATGTTACGATCCTGGGCTCTTTTTCCTTTCCCCCTCACCTCGCATAAGCATCGATTTCATGGATTAACGAGTGGTTTTACAAGGATGAGCATAGAGACCAATTGTTTATCATGGCTAAATAGTCCGTATGCCAAATTTTATAGCTATCTGACAATGTGAACAGTAAATTTTTTCTAAAAAACTTGCAGGTGGGGGGAAAAGGAAAAAGAGCCCGATCCTGAGTTAAAGAATTTATTTTTAAAAAGTTTACAATAAATCATAATCTTTAGTTATCGGTTAAAACTGCTTTATTCAGTAAAAGTACCTAGGCCCCGCAATCTTTGCGATGTTTGTCATAACTTGAAGAATCTTAAAAAAAATTGCAGAAATTGTCTTCCAAAATTGGCAAGATTGTGCCAAGAATCTTAAAGGTTGGTGAAGATCGTTGAAAAATTACAACAATGACAAGAAACAAAGATTGCGAAGAATCTTAAGCACACTAAGTTTTTAGAGATTCCTTGCTACTTTTTATAAATCTCTAAGATTCTTCAAAGTTTTGTCAAGATTTTCAAGATGGCTGGACCTGGTTGTTCAGCAGAAAATCGAAAGTCATTTAGTTTTTCAATTTTTTTTGGTTTTCTTTTGAACCGCTAAAATTATTTTGTGTCTTGCGAATTGAGCCGCTCAAAGCTATAATGCAATTTTCTAAACAAAACTTCGAAGTGTTAAGTTAATTGCGAAACAGGTCCATGAATTAAAGAAATAATCTAATTTGTATTTCACTCAGTCACAAAATTTGTCAGCGAATAAACAAATTTCTTCCAAAATTGGGCATGTATTAAATTTTTCACCAAACAAATACTTGTAGTTTTTTTAACATTTTTTATGGGTAGAGACCTACCACAAACCGCCAGAAAGTCAAGAAAAAGCAACTCAGTATACTATTTCTCGAAGCTCGTTTTTTTGTGCATCACTTTGAAGTTAAATCAAACGACTGACAACGTGATTGTACAAGTCGATCACAAAAAACTTGCCGGAGCAAAACAAAAATCCTGCTAAAAAATCCCGCTCGAGCAAAATATTTTGCGGAACACTCCATTTTTTATAAAATAGTCGAAAATGGACGGAGTAAAAAACCTAACTATAAGTATTCCGCTTTTTCTTCGAAAGTGGAAACAAATAGCAGGGGTATATACTGAATTTTTTATTTTTGGGGTATCAAGCAAAACTGAAACTATATGTCAAGGTTGAACACCTGATTTACATACTTGCTGATTGTATCTGCGATTTTTAAGACTAATGATGATGTTGTAGCTGGTTTGATCCAAATTAGTAAAACTATCACTCTCGACGGTTTTCTTGTAAGTTTTTTTCTACAGTTTTGATTTTTTGAGAATTTCGATAACGTAAGTTAGTGCACGTGCACGTTTTTTATTTAACAGCGTTAACAAAACGAACCTATCATCTATTCAAAACGCCCGTTATCATAATTTAATTTGAATTTTCATAAACTCTGACAACTGTTTAAATCAAATTCCGCTGTTTTTTCTAGGTTACGTGAAATTAAGCTGGATAGCATCGACATTTAACACAATTGAAGTTTGGATTTTTGTTATTTATCTAGTGCAGACATTGAATAAATACAACAATGTAAAATTATTGATTGACATTTGGTATAGAATGAAATTAAATGGTATCATTTATAAATTTGTTCATGGTCCAAATTGCAAAACATGCGCTTCACTGTAAAAAGAACTGACCAAAAGTGTCCGGTCGGAGATAGCTGCGAGGGGACATATCACTTCCACGTCGCTCTTGATTTCATGTGTTGTCACCTTTTTTATCTGCTTGTTGTTGCCGTCTAAGCTCTCCTCGCCTGAAGACTCATCGGAAATAGTGTGGAGAAGCAGAGTATAAGAGTTCTTTTTCGTCAGAATCTGATGGTCAGACATGACCACGAATAATCCAGACCATGCTTCTGCTGGTCCCCAAATAGGCCTCGTAGATATCGACGGAGTGGGTGTATCACTGTACCGATAACCAGTTACTGAATTATCATTCCAGTCACTCACAATTAACTGACCGTGTCGTAATTCCATCTTTTTAAAAATTTTCGGCCAGTGAAGCTTGTCGTGTAGAGTTATAGTTGACACCCAGATGTCATTATGAAAGACTTGTATTTCTTTTGTTCTCAATACATGCAGGAGCAGCGTTTGTCCCCAAGCAGCCATGTAGACGTAATCAGCTTCATTACAGAGCATAGACATACTTACTGTGCAAATATAACCACAGAAACGATGAACATGATTCGTTTTTTTTTTAGAAATGGAAAAAAATCAAGAAAACATTTGATGAATTACCCCATAAAAATAAATGTTGTGTGCTGTAACTTGTTCTGAGATTGTCATGTCAAAGTTATAATTAAGTTTTTTTGTTCCGCGATTACTGAAAGTGGGGATATGAACTTTGTCTTCAGTGTTTTTTTCTTCAGATTTTTTTCACGCAAAATCACTCCACAAAATTTATCGAAATGAGCTGAGTAATATATTCTATTAAAGTCCTTCACAGATTAAGAAAAAAAACTGGCTAAAAACAGTCTCAATCCCATAAAAAAATTATAAATGTCAAGGATTTCATGATATTTAAATTTAATTTTTATATATCCTCAAAAATTTTAAAACTAGAACTCGGCCTAATTTTTAGAGACTTTTATTGTTTTTTTTTGTTTGAATTCGCGCATGAGAATGTCTATGAACACTCAGGGTTAATAAAGGAGGTAGTATTTAAAGCTTTCAAAGCCGTCGCATTTTTACTGAAGTCCACAACAAACATTTGATATTCCCCCTCTAGTCTTCTAGCATACAAATAGAGTCTGTCGTGAGAGGATGTCATGCGGTCGATGATATCAATCGCTGGCCACTGATGAGTGCTCCCATTACTTGAGAGGAGACC